ATTTGATTTAAATTGGCAGGTATAGGAGGAAAACCGATCATTTAGTAGAACAAGTTTCTGCTGCACGTATACCTACTACATGGGGGTCGTTTGTTGCCTACTGTTATAAGTCGATCTTAAATGGGATGGAACATGTCGCTATGGTCAAGGTGAGCAACATTCATGTCTTTTACACACACGATCAATCAAAACAAAATAGAAAGTTGGGAATAAAATGATGAAAAGTTGCATGCGTGTCTGTTGAAACAGGGTGAAATCGGGGATGGGAATGATATACTTGTGAGGGTACACTCGGAATGCTTAACAGGAGATATATACGGATCTGCTAGATGTGATTGTGGGAACCAACTCGCACTTTCCATGCAACAAATCGAAGAGGCTGGGAGGGGTGTAGTGGTATACCTCAGAGGTCATGAAGGCCGAGGCATCGGTTTAGGCCACAAACTTCGTGCTTATAACCTTCAAGATGATGGACGTGACACTGTGGAAGCCAATGAGGACCTCGGCTTGCCTGTTGACTCAAGGGAATATGACGTTGCTGCACAGGTACGCTCACCATGTTGGAAATAACCACATAAAGCTTGCCTAGTCTCATAATTCACTAGTGTAGTATATGTATTTATATTATACAATACTTGTTTGTACTACTATACAATACTATATATTATATGGTACTATATACAAGTGTGTGCTATGCACTTTTGTCAGGCCACCCAATTAGACTGTAATCTTGATTTGTTTGAACCATATGCAGATTTTAAAAGACCTTGGTGTTAGAAAGATGAAGCTGATGACGAACAATCCGGCTAAATGCATTGGGCTCAAAGGATATGGTTTGGAAGTTACAAGCAGAGTTCCCCTTTTGACTTTGATCACGGAGCACAACAAGAGATATCTTGAGACCAAGCGAACCAAGATGGGTCATATTTACGGGTCAGTGAATAATGGGGTTAACCTCATCCATCAAAACGATAAAACGCACTCAGTGTACCCGACTAATTAACAATTTTGAGATGTATAAGTACGAAGTCGATTCATATACTTCACTTACAGAGATAAGAGAGATAAGAGAAGTCACGCTAAAAAGAATTTGTTAAATAAATTGTCGGTTTGTCATCGAGTGTTGTAATTGTAATGTAAGTCGTGTAAAAACTTCATTACATTTTATTGTCAAGTTTAGTTGGTTCGAAGAATAAAATGAAACGTTCAAACATGTTATTTGCTATTTGTAAATACAAAACTAAATGAAAGAATAATGATAAATTAATAATAAATATTATTATACAAAAATAAACTTTAACTGGCTACACCAATAGGGACGACGCGTAAAATTAGCAACAACGTTGTTTACGTTGGCAACAGTTTACCGTTAGCCTGATTACACGATTGTACCACCATAATTAATCAATAGCGGCAACAAGATATTACAAAAACATTGACTTTTAGCGGTGATTGCAATGCTTTTGAGTAGACAAAACTTCAAAAATGGTGCCTGTGGTTTTACAAAATCTCAAGTTTGGTCCTTAATTTATAAAAAATTCATGGATCCTTCCTGTGGTTTCAAAACTTTTAACATTTGATCATTCTGGCTCACTCCGTTACCATTTAGCCGTTAAGTAAGAGACATTTTTGTCATTTCACTACGTAGGGATTATTTGAGGTTTTCTATTACTTTTTTTAAATAAATAAATAACTAAATAAAATTTAATATGCAAGGGGTCCCACCCTATCACTCACACACACACACACACACACACACTCTCTCTCTCTCTCTCTCTCTCTCTCTCTCTCTCTCTCCGGAGTCTTGCTCGTTCAGCTTATGTCTAAGCTTTAACGAATCCACTCGTCTATCCTCCGCCACCGGAAATCTGATGCTAATTGGTTTGCCATTAAAGTTGCCACCAACCTTTCCACTGGCGGGATTCTCTATCTTAGTCACCTTAAGCTTGTACGCCTTGTGGGATCGGGTAATCTTGGCCGTGTCTTCCTCTGTCGCCTCTGAGACTATGAACACACACCATTGTTGAGGCGATGCTATGGATTCAATTTGAGTTGGGGATTCAATTTTTGAAGGGGAGCCATCACCATCATGTTCTGGTCTGACTTCTTAGAGAGGGATTTGATACAAGGTTTCTGATTTCAAGTTTGAAGATCAATTTGAGTGAGGAATATATTTGAGATGGGTTTATGGGACTCTATCCATTTCTAGATTACCTAAGTTATAGGTTTTCACAGTTATAGCGGCAAGACCGTCTTCCATAACGAGACTGTAAAGAAAAAAGTTAGGGACCATCTGTTCTATCGCTATCCTGATTCTCCGGCGAGGGTGGTGGTGGTCGGTACCGGTGATTCTAGGTTTGTTTTTGTGGGTCGATTCTAATGCTCCTCGTCGACTGATTCTAATGTCGGGAACCAACGGTTGGATGATTGGGTGAGCCGATTAATCTGTTTTTTGTTTCAAAAAAATCTCAGTTCGACGATGTTCTTGAATCATTGCTGGAGATTGAAGACAAAATTTTCAACTTAGCATGGATTAAATCCTTGCAGACCTTTCAACAAAAAGATCAAAAGGTAAATCTTCAAAAATTCGATTATGGTAATTAGAATTGGACCAAAACGGGAACAAGAGTGACAACTATGGCTAAAACCTTCATCTGGATTCTAGCGATTTTCATGTTTTGGGTTCTAACGAATTCGATTTTCAAATCTTGATTTATGGGCTTGAACACAATTCGATTTTCAACATCACACCCACACATATTGGACACACTTATGGGTCTGGAAAAGGACCTGAAGATGTCTTTTTAAATCGTAAGTTCGAGAGAGAGAGAGAGAGAGAGAGAGAGAGAGAGAGAGAGAGAGAGCTTTAATATTAAATAATTAATTTTTTTTTCTTTTTCCTTTAAATAATGCAAAACTTCATAAATGGTCCTTTTGGTAGTGAAAAAACAAAAATGCTCTTTATTTAACGGTCAAAAGTTAACGGAGTTAGCGAAAATGACCATATGTTAAAAGTTTTGAAACCATAGGGATGATCCATGAGGTTTTTGTAAATTAAGGACTAAACTTCAAATTTTCGAAAACCATATGGACCATTTTTGAAGTTTTGTTTTTCAAAATAATAGCTACGGAGAAATAGAGACGATCCA